AGGAGGCTGAGGCAGGAGAATTGCCTAAAACCAGGAGGCGGAGGTTGCGGTGAGCCGAGATCGCGCCATTGCACTCCAGCCTGGGTAACAAGAGCGAGACTCCGTCTCAAAAAAAAAAAAAAAAAAAAGAAATTTTATCTGAAGGCAAACCAAGCATCATATTAATGCTTCCTAAAATAATCAGCCCAAGATGGCTTCCTTCCCATCCTTTGAAGCCAAATCTCCAAATCTCAACTTCTGCTCTCTCTGATGCATGCATTCCTAAACTGGACTGGAGGTAATTTCATACGGAGTAGCCTCAAATGCATTGCTGGTATCTTCAAAACCCTCTCTATGGATGAAACTCATGAACTAAGGACTAGAACCTGGGCATGATGGTTCATGCCTGTAATCCCAGCAATTTGGGAGGCTGAGGTGGGAGGATCGCTTGAGTCTAGGAGTTCAAAACCAGCCTGGACAACACAGTGACACCCTGTCTACACACACACACACACACACACACACACACACACACAATTAGCAAGGCATGGTGGTGTGTGCCTACAGTCCCAGCTACTAGGAGGCTGAGGCAGGAGGACTGCCTGAGCCCAGGAGTTAGAGACTGCAGTGAGCTACAATCATGCCACTGCACTCTAGCTTGCACAACAGAGTGAGACCCTTTTTCTAAAAAAAAAAAAAAGAAAGAAAGAAAAATTTTTAATAAAATTTTTTTAAAAAGACTAAGACTTTATTATTGTGTGACTAAATACAAATACTAGTTTGCATTTATTCACTTTGTGCTTTTCCAGTCTCCCCTAGGAATAAAGAAAGATACTCATTTATTGAGTACCTATTATATACCAGGCACTGTGCAAGATGCAGTCTCTTGCATTAGCCCAAATGACCACCACAGACACACTGAAAGGCTGGCACAGTCTCTGTTTAGCAGATAAATTCGAGGACACCAGAGTTACCTATCAGGAGCCACACATCCAAGCAGCAAGGATTAGATCCCAGATCTGCCTGACTTCAGAACTCTTTCCCCTAAAGTCCTCTGGAGTGAAGGCTGAGTCTTCTCTGCCCTCAGGAATCTCAAAGTGCCAGCCTCCTGGGCAGAGGGTCCATTGACAAGGACACATGCCCAGTACCGAGCCCACCTGGTCAGCCTCAGTGTTTGCAGAAGGAGACAAGGAAGCATGGCGAGTTTAGACAGAAAGCAGCAAGTCCAGGCCAGTGGGAAGTGCATCCTCCTCAGGGAGGGGCGGAACACGGGGAGGGGGCTAGGGAGGAGAGATGCCGCAGTGCTGCTAGGGAAACCCATACACTGCCTCCATCGCTACCCGTGCCAGAACCCCAGGCCGCAGGAACCGGAACCGCCAGGTCGCAAGGCTGTCCACCAGGGTCCGGAAGACTGCCGCCCTCCCCCAGCTGCAGGGAGACTCACCATGTTCTTAGTGAGCTGGTCGCTCTTCTCCAGGCTGTCTCGGATGAAGGACAGCGTCTCCTCCTCCTGGGGGCAGGGAAGGGGAGGACATCACCAGAAGCCAGAGGCTAAAGGAGACCACTGCGTCCCGACCCCACGGCCTAGCACCCAGCCCCATCTCCTCGAGGGTGCGCTCCCTCCCACCGCTGCCTCCTCTCCGAGTAGCCACCCAGGCCCCGCTGTTGGCCCCTTTCCCTCACCTCCTTCCCAGCCTCCCCAGACCCATGCCTACCTGCTTCAGCTTGTCCTCGATCTCCCGCCGCCTGGCGGATGCCTCCTGTGGGGGAATCATCGCTCCGAACGCCGCAGATCCCACTCCTCAGTAATTTTCTTTAGCTAGCCCACCAGGCCCCCGTCCCCGTCACACCCACTTCCGCTCTTGGTCCCGCCCCAGGAGGAGCCAAGTTTAGAGCGGTAGGCGGAAGTGCGTCTGGGCGGAGCCCAGGATCGGACCGGCGGCCATCTTGAGTGTGGCTGGGAAGTGAGGCGCACTCGGATCCTAAGCGGAACCCCGACTCTCGTGTTCCTCGCCTCAGCAGAGAAGGTTTTCGATCGGCTTTATGTCCCGCTGCTGGCAGGATCCTTACAGCTCACTTGCTGTTTTCGTTGAAAGATCGACGTTTTTAATAAAGACTGCTGGGGAAAGCGACGAATTCCTTTCCCCAGGTCGCATTCTGGGTAGGCACCAAGGCCGATCACGTTCCCCAAAGAGCCTGGCACGGAGCAGATGGCATAGTAGATGCCAACGTGTGTCCATTTGATGAACCAGGGGCTTGTGTAGTCGTCTCCCCCTTCTACCCTACATTACACGAAAACGTATCGTGTGGGCTGGCGAGGCTGCTCAGGAGCTCCAGGCCCAGACCCAGCTTCCAGTTGCAGCTCCAGGGAGTAGGGGTGGGGGGGCGCCCCTGAATTAACGCCCCTGCAGGGCTGGATGTTGTGGTTGCAGTCCCAGTTCCTGCAAAACGTAGCGTTACTCCTTCCTCTAACCCGTCCCTGCCCACCCTGCCTCTGGCTCCCGGCCTGGAAGTAAATGGCTGACCAGCTTGGTTCAGCCCCTCCGTGGCCTCAGTGTCCAGACACCAGGAAGGCAGACAAGGAGATATGAGCTGAGTGAGAAGATTTGAGGGAACGCCAAGCTTTTCTTTTCTTTTTTTTTGAGTGGGATTCTCACTCTGTTGTGCAGTGGCGCGATCTCGGCTCACTGCAACCTCTGCCTCCTGGGTCCAAACGATTCTCCTGCTTCAGCAGCTACTCCCAGTAGCTGGGATTACAGGAGCATGCCAACACACCCGGGTAATTTTTTTGTATTATTACTAAAGTTGGGGTTTTACCGTGTTGCCCAGGCTGGTCTCAAACTCCTGATCTCGTGATCCACCCGCCTCAGCCTCCCAAAGTGCTGGGACTACAGGCGTGAGCCCCAGCTCCCTGCCTAGTGGGCACCAAGCTTTAGGGTTCCCAAGCGCTCCCTCCGCCCACAGCCACCCAGAGAGGAGGAGGAAATGGGGGCACAGAGCCTGGAGAGGGATGGGCGGCCTTCCCTCCGGCAGGAGGATAATTTCAGGCCTGTTGTCGCTCGGGGAGATAAAAGGCAGCTTCCTGTGTCAGGAAATACCCAGAATGATTTCGCAGAGATGGTCCTTGTGTAGTCCTAAGGGCTAAGTACAGGAAATTTAAACTGTTAAGTGTCACAGAACAGAATGAGGGGGCTAGTGAGCTACAGTGGATAGGGTGTTTTGGGCTCAAGTGGACCACCCTGAGGGCATGCTCCAGGATTTAACCTGAGTTTCTGAACAGTTCCTAGCCCATAGTAGATGCTCAGGAAAAATACTGATAATAATATTTTGCTCCATAGGTCTTAGGAAGGGAATCCTTTATGCTCTTGAAGAAGCTAATATTTTCAATTTTGTATGATGTCATTGCAGTTTTGTAAATAAACTGTGTGGTTTACTGCATTTCCTTCAGTTTGCTTCAGTGTCGAGTCTCATGGGGTTGGTAACTACCCTGCGCTGAGAGCCTTCTGTTTGCCTGTCCCTACTACCAACACTGCGCTTGCTAATGCTCCTCTAATCCTCTTCATAAACCTGGGAGTCAGGCACAGCTGTCATCTCCCTCGTGCAGATCAGGAAGCTCCGGTGCAGAGAGGTCAGCCGTGCTAAGTCAACACAGCTGGCCAGGAAAGGGTGCAACCCAGGCGGCCTCTTCTTTCTCCCCATGCTGGGCAGCTCAGGAGTGGTGTTTGTTATGCAAAGCTGCCGATCTGATTTTCAAAAAAATTCACTGTGAAAAGCACGTTGTATTTGAGACAACGATATTTACTAAGAGTAGACAGAATGAAAATATGAATTGAAATTATTCTCGCCGGGCGCGGTGGCTCAAGCCTATAATCCCAGCACTTTGGGAGGCCGAGGCCGGTGGATCAAGAGGTCAAGAGATCCAGACCATCCTGGTCAACACGGTGAAACCCCGTCTCTACTAAAACTATAAAAAATTAGCTGGGCATGGTGGCACGTGTCTGTAGTCCCAGCTACTCAGGAGGCTGAGGCAGGAGAATTGCCTGAACCCGGGAGGCGGAGGTTGCGGTGAGCTGAGATCGCGCCATTGCACTCCAGCCTGGGCAACGAGAGCGAAACG